TAATTAATCAATTTATAATAATTTCCAACTCCGCTAGAAAATTCAACAAAGTTAACCCTCAGGCACACGTGCCCGGATTCTGAAAATATTCAAAGATAAACATTACCCATAACACAAGGAACTCAAATATATAATTTATTCCTAATTCCATATCCAATTTCGTGGTCAAAATCCAAAAATTCAATTTCTAGGTTTTCTTCAAAAATTCCATAATTTTTACAAATTTCCATGCTTAAATCCATATATAACTCATGTATTTAGCTCACAAGCGGGTAGAATTCGCTTACCTTGTGTTGCTTGATGAAAATCCCCTCAAAATAGCTCCCCAAATTCGGCCAACCCCAGTGGAAATGAGAGAAATGAGAGCCAAGTCTCGTATTAAAACAATTTTGCCCAGGCCCGACCTTCATTGCGTTCGCGTACCCCTCGTCGCGTTCGCGAAGGACTAACAGTCCGTTGCTTTGCGTTCACGTCCAATCCATCCCGTTCACGATACCCAACTCGCCCCCAGCCTAGAACTCCTCCTTCGCGTTCGTGATTGCCTCTCCGCGTTCGTAAAGGGCAAACGGCTAGCCCGGCAACTCTTCGCGTTCGCGACTACAATGTTGTGTTCATGTAGGGTAAAGTCCCCTGACCCCCTAGTCCTTCTTCGCGTTCGTGAATCGTACTTTGTGTTCGCGAAGCACAAAAAGGAAGCCACCAAATTCCTTCTTCACGATCGTGTAAGTCCACTCGCGATCGCATAGCACAACACAAGTACCAGCAACCAGCACCATCAAATCATCTAAACTTTGTCTAAAACCACCCCGAATCACACCCGTGGCCCCAGGACCCTGTCCAATCATTCCAATCAGTCTTAACACCTTATCCAAACTTATTTTAAGTATCGAAATGCCACAAATAACATCAAAACCAAGATATCAAAATCCTTCTTTTAACTTTCAAACATCAAACTTCGTCAAACGCGTCTGAATCACACTTAGACGTTCCGGAATGACGCCAAATTTTACATATAAGTCATAAATTACAATACAAACCTATTCCAAGGCTCAGAATCCCAAATGGACATCAATAACACCAAAGTCCACTTCAAATTAAACTTAAAAAATTCTAAAACCTTCAAAATGCCAACTTTTTACACTAAGCGTCGAAAAGCTCCCGGACCATCCAATACTTAACCCGAACATAGGCCCAAGTCTAAAATCATCATACGAACCTATTGGAACTTTCAAATCCCGATTACGAGACCGTTTACTCAAAAGTCAAACATTGATCAACTCTTCCAACTTAAAGCTTCCGAATTGAGAATTATCCTTCTAAATCAACTCCGAACTTTCCGAAAACCGAAACGGGACACACGTGTAGGTGATAATACATAAAGTGAAGCTACTCGAGGCCTCAAACCAGCGAACGACGTACTATAGCTCAAAAC